TTTCATCAGCACCATTCTCATTCACACTCATAGTACTTCTATCTCCTAGTATTTAGCCATTCATTCATTCGTTTGACAAATACTTATTGAGTGCCAACTCCACGCTAGGCCTCTTGTAGGCTTGTCTACTACACTGTATTGTCACTGCCTGCTTCAGTTCTTTCATGTACACGGGTATGCGCCTGTGTGTATTGCACTGTGTGTATGTAATACACATACCATAAAACTCACCCTTTTGAGTGTATAATTCAGTGGTTTTTAGTATATTCACAAGGTTTGGCAACCACCACTACTATTTAATTTCAGAACCTTTTCACTACTCTAAAAAGAAAACCATTAGCAGTCATTCTCCATTTTCCCCTTCCCCCAGACCTTGGCAACAATTAATCTTTCTATCTCAATGGATTTTTTTTTTTTAAAGATTTAACTTGTGTAGCCAGCTGGGAACACTTTTTTTTTCTTTTTAATATATTTTATTGATTTTTTACAGAGAGGAAGAGAGAGGGATAGAGAGTTAGAAACATTGATGAGAGAGAGAATCATCCATTAGCTGCCTCTTGCACACCTCCCACTGGGGATGTGCCCACAACCAAGGTACATGCCCTTGACCAGAATCGAACCCAGGACCTTTCAGTCTGCAGGCCGATGCTCTATCCACTGAGCCAAACCGGTTTCGGCTCAATAGATTTTCTTATTCTGAGGTATAACCACCCAGAAATCATACAATATGAGGTCTTTGTATTTCATACAATATGAAATCATACAATAACTGAAACCATACAATATGAGGTCTTTTTGTGATTGGCTTCTTTTACTTAGTAAAATGTTTTCAAGGTTCATCCATGTTGTAGCTTGGATCAGCATTTAATTTCTTTTTATGTCTTTTTTTTTTTCTTTTTATAGTATCTATATCATTCTCTAGATATACCAAATCTATTTATTCATCAGCTGATGATCATTTGGGTTAGTTTTCACTTTTTTCGTTATTTTGAATAATGCTTCAATGAACACTCATGTACCAGTTTTTCTGTGGACATGTGTTTTCATTTCTTCTGGAATATAACTAGGAATGGTATTGCTGGGTCACATGGTTACTTTATGTTTAATCTTTTTTGCTAAACTGCCAGACTGTTTTCCACAGCAGGCATACCATTTTGCATTCCAACAGCAGGCATACCATTTTGCAATGTATGAGGATTCTGATTTCTGTTCATCTCACCAACACTTGTTATTGTTCTTTTTTTAAAATATATATATATTATCCATTTTTTACAGAGAGTAAGGGGAGGGATAGAGAATTAGAAACATCAATGAGAGAGAAACATCCATCAGTTGCCTCTCGCACACTCCCTACTAGATATGTGCCTGCAACCAAGATACATGCCCTTGACCAGAATCAAACCTGGGACCCTTGAGTCCACAGGCCGACACTCTATCCACTGAGCCAAACCGGTTAGGGCATGTTACTGTTCTCTCTCTTTTTTTCCTCTTTATTTTGATTGTCTTCTTTGATTTAACCATCCTAGTGGGTGTGAAGAGGTTCTTCTGAAGCTCTATGAGAACAAGGACTCCTCCATCTGCCTGCATCACCACTGTATCCCAGAACTTAGTGCAGTGCTTAGCACTTATTACATATTCATATTTTGTTCAATACACTAAAAAGTGTTGAATGAATAGGTAAATCAGAAGCTAGCTAGATGGTTACAGTACCTGAGAGAGAGAGAGAGAGAGAGAGAGAGAGAGAGAGAGAGAGAGAGAGAGAGAGAGAGATGGATTTGTGAGAGACACACATTGATTGGTTGCCTCCCACAAGGATCCCAACAGAGGCCAGGATTAAACCTGCAAACCAGGTAAGTGCCCTTGGCCCAGAATTGAACCTGTAACCCTTATTGATTGTAGGAATGTCGGAAAAACAACATGTTTCAATACCAATAAATTATCTTTTAAGTGCTTAAATAAGAAATTTGTGCACACTTAAGATCCTAATGGATGATTTAAAGAAAAACAAGGAAGCTTTTAACTACCCAATAGAGAGCTGTCAGGGGATCTGGTATTCTTTTTTCTGCGGAGTATTGAACCACCCCTTTTCTGCTACCATAATCTTTCTTCAGGGACGAAATTGGGTTAAATCTATGCTTTTTCATTTTTCTTCAGATCACTCATTAGGATCTTAAGTATGTACAAATTTATCATTTAGGCACTTAAAGATAATTTCTTGGGTATTAGAACATTTTGTGGGTTTTTTTTGTGTGTGTTTGTCTTATTTATTTATTTTTAACATTCATTTCTCCTACGAAACTCTGTTTTGTTTTTTAAATTTTCATCTGAGGATATGTTGTTTTTTTTTAATTGAGAGAGAGAATGAGAGAGAGAGAGAGAGAGAGAGAGAGAGAGAGAGAGATTGATTGATTGTCTCTATTATGCATTCAGGCGGGGGGATCAAAGAATCCCAAACCTGGGTATGTGCCTTGACTGAGAATTAAACCTGAGACCCTTCAGTGCACTGATGACGCTCCAACCAACTGAGCAACACCAGGCAGGGCTCTCCTACAGCACAGTTGACCTCCTTCTGCAGGGCTTTTTGCTCACTCCCAAGCATTCCATGCTTGAAAAGAGTCTTCCTCTTGTTTCTTTTCAAACTGGTCACACCAGATAATTAATACCTATGACAGGCCAGTGTTTCTTTTTTGTTTATTTGTTTTCTTTTAATATTTCTCTACACCCAATAAACATCTAAACCTGGAGAGAATTTGTAAAAGAGGTTATTTTAACCAAACTGATGACAATTACCAGGAAGCAAGATCTCCAATGCTCTGAAGTGAAAGTTTTTTTAAAATATATTTTATTGATTTTTTACAGAAAGGAAGGGAGAGATCTATAGAGCTAGAAACATCGATGAGAGAGAAACATCGACCAGCTGCCTCCTGCACACCCCCTACCGGGGATGTGCCCACAACCAAGGTACATGCCCTTGACTGGAATCGAATCTGGGAACTTTCAGTCCGCAGACCGATGCTCTATCCACTGAGCCAAACCAGTTTCGGCTGAAGTGAAAGTTTTGCAGTTCCTTTTACACATTTGGAATTAAGGGGGAAACATAAGGAAGATTACATGAAGGTGGGAGAAAGCAATATATAGGATAGTTAAGATTATATGCTCCCTTGAGGGTGGTTACACCTTCCTTCAAGGGGTCTAAAAAAGAGGCATTTCAAAAGGAATGTTAACCTAGATGCGCAGAAACAATGGACAGGACTTGCTTAAGGGAAAGAAGTTCTATACCTGGGATGTGCCTACTCACTATGACCTGGCCAGTTAGGAATTTATGGTCAGATCACCCTGTGAGGTGACTCTGGTTAGATAAATCACAGCATCCCTTTCCTGTCTCCTGGATTTGGAAGTCAATTAGACCAGGTGGTGCTAATTGAAAGCACTCAGTACTTGAAAAAATAGTCAGTAAATGAATGAATGAATGAATGAATGAATGAATGAATGAGAAAATGTGACAGGGACACATTGCAACACGCAGACTTGGTCAACAAATACCTTGTGAACACCCATTGTGTCCCAGGCCCTGTGGTTGCATGCCAAGATTAACAGGCACACAAAACAAGAGACTCCTTGGACTAGGGAGTTTCCAAAATCCCTAGTTCCAGCTGCCTTGTTCCGTTTCCCTGTCTGTTATCTTTTCACCTTTCATCACACAATCCATGACTTTCAGGATCACGTTTTAGCTAAGGCATCTCCTCGTTTGCTGAAGCCCCAAATAAGTTCTGATCTCCTGTCAGTCAGCAAAATACGGACAGTGCCCCAGTGCACCGTTTGTCTCCAAACAGCTACCCTCTCCCCCCCCCAGCCCCCCTAACCCCCCCAACCCCCAAACGTTAAGCTTCTTGATCTCAGGGGTCCTTGGATGGGGAACCTGAAAGAACGGACAGAGCTGCGTCCAGCAGAGGGTGCTGTGGGGGCAGAGCTGAGCCGGGAGGGGAGCTTGACCAGTGACCCTGAGCGCCAGGTAGGCGTCCTGAGTAATCGGGCGTCTTCCTCGTGCTCCCTCCCCCCTCCCCCCCTCCCCAGGGAACAGGGCCGCCCCTCCCCCACAGGTGGTCCCCCCTCCCTCCCGAATAATTAGCGGTTTTCGGGGGACTTAGCGCTTTCTTAGAAAAGACGCCTCGCTCCCGTTTCCGACGCCCCCCAGGCCCCTTAGGCCCCAGGCCCACCCCCGAGGCTGGGTGGCCGGGCGGGGGCCTCCGGGGCTTCCGCGCCCGGCGCCGCAGGGGCCGCGAAGGGGTTAAGCCGGCGGGGGGGGGCGGGGGGGAGGGACGGGGAGGGGGCGCGGGCCGCGCCTGCGCTCTGCCGCCCTCCATTGTCTCCACGGCGGCGAGGAGCGCCGGCGAGCGCAGCCCGGGACCGGCGGCGGCGAGGCGGGCGGCGCGGGTGGCGGCGGCGGCGGCGGGGCCGGCAGCGGCTGGAGCGACGACAGCGCGACGCGACCGACCGACCGCGGCTTCCCGAGCTCCGCTGGGCCGCCAGCGCCGCAGCCCGGCCCGAGGCCTGGGGGGTCCGCGGCGGCGCCCTGAAGCGGCGGGGGGACACGCAGCCGGCGCCCCCAGCCCGCCCTCCTCCGCTCCCTCCGGCCCGGCCGGCGGCCTCCTCCCCGCGGCTCCCGCGGCGGCGTTCGGGGCCCCGGGCGGCCTGTGGCGCGCCGAGCCCGCGCCGGGCTGCGCCTCCTTGGACCTTGAGGGGGAACATGCGCTGGGCTCGGATCGTCTTCAATTCTTAGTTTGGGATCCCCGCCCGCCTGCCTCTTCGGCCCCACGGGCTTTCTTTTTTTTCTTTCTTTTTCCTTTTTTTCTTTTTCCCCCTCCCGATCTCCTTTTTGACTTCCCTTCCCCTTTTATGCTCGCCCAGCCCTCTCCCCGCTGCTGAGGAGTGAGTGGGGGAGGGCCTCGGCCTCCAGGTTCCTCCCGCCCCATCGGGGGACACCCCCCCCCCCCGGCGAGCCATGGGGGGCAAGCAGAGCACGGCGGCCCGCTCCCGGGGGCCCTTCCCGGGGGTCTCCACCGACGACAGCGCCGTGCCGCCGCCGGGAGGGGCGCCCCACTTCGGGCACTACCGGGCGGGCGGCGGCGGCGGGGCCATGGGGCTGCGCAGCCGCTCCGTCAGCTCGGTGGCGGGCATGGGCATGGACCCCGGCACGGCCGGAGGGGTGCCCTTTGGCCTCTACACGCCCGCCTCCCGCGGCGGCACCGGCGGGGACTCGGAGCTCCGGGCGCCGGGCGGCGGCGGCGGCGGCGGCGGCGGCGGAGGGTCCGCGTCCGAATCCACCTATGCCCAGGGCAACGGTTACCAGGAGACCGGCGGCGGCGGCGGTCACCATAGAGACGGGATGCTGTACCTGGGCTCCCGAGCCTCGCTGGCGGATGCTCTACCTCTGCACATCGCACCCCGGTGGTTCAGCTCGCACAGCGGTGAGTGCGGGCGGACGGGCGGGGCGGTGGAGGCCTCGGAGGGTGGGGAGTGCCCAGAAGGGCGCCCCAAACCTTGGCGATGCGCGCGAACGTTTGGACGTTAAGAGTGGTGCATGGCCAGAGTCTTGTCTGCTGGTCCCCTTGGTTTCCGAAGCCAAGGGACAGGTTGGATGCGAAGCCTTTATAGAAAAGGTTTTTCTGCTGTGGAGCCGGGCATTTTTATGAAGGACTTGAGGCGTTGACCCACTTGTGGATGGAGGGACAGAGGGAAGGTTTGAAACCTGCCTCGTGAGATCCCTCTTCATGGCATCCCCGTCCTCAGAAGAGGTCTGGCCTGACTTACAGCGAGAGTCAGCCCCGGTGCTTTCTTCCTGTCACTGCCGCATGGAGCCTGCCTCACCCTTTCTTACCAGACAGACAGATCCAATTTGACCAAGTGGTGGTGTCTCCCAGACAAAGAGTGTGAGAAGAGATAACCCTGGAGCCAAGTGGTGGTTTGTGGATTAGGGCTCTCACGGTCTAGCTGGGAGGAGAGGGATGTTGAATTTTGCCACCCCGCTGGAAGTGTGTTTGAATCGTTTAAAATGGAGCAGCTAGCAGGCTGTTGGCGAGACACAGGTGTGGCCTGCTGAATGGAGGCCCAGCCAGGGAGCCTCCCTCCCAGGCTTTGCAGGACGAGGGCTCTGGTCCCTGTGCTGCATGCAGTAGGCTTGGCTCAGTGACTCTCCCATCCCTCCCCGTCGTCTTTCCTTCCCCTCCATGGTTAAGTGCCTGGTCTTCCAGATGATCTGCATCTAATTGTAACAGAGAGGTGAGATTTTTATTGCCAGGCTGTGGGTGCATGACAGGGAAAGATTCAGAGAATGTGGATGAATTCACGATGTGAACTTCTGGCAACAGGCCAGTGAAAAGCTGGAGGAGGATTTCCCAGGCTGTTAGTAGCAGGAGCATCTGGAGGAAAACAGGTCTGTTTGCCAGGTTAGGCTTCTAGAAAACTAATCAAAAGAGGTGTGCGACCGCTATTTACTATTGGCCTTTATTTTTTGAAAGAGTTTGGATTTCTTTCTTTTTTTCTTTCTATCTATATACTTTAATTTGTGAAATGATTTCATTTGATGGGGAGGAATAGTGACTGATTGATGACAGTAACACTTGAAAGCAGCTTTTGAATTGCTAGGATGGTATCTTATTACCTGAACAGGCTTCTCTGACTTGCATCAAACTCTGCCCTGAATGAGATGCCAGGCAAGACTGACTGCCTTTGGCACTATTAGACATTGGATCAGCTTTAAAAATTTTGAAATTAATAATCTGTCTTATAAAATCTGGTCCAGAAAGAGTCGTTTGTGTTTATGAGATGATGTGGTTAAGTTTTTTTAAAGGACTGTCATAGTATCTGATTTTAAATTGAAAAGCACTGTAAGAAGTTACCTACTCTAAAACCACAGAATTTTGTGTATTATAAAACAAATATAATCTTATAGAGGCTTGTCTGGGGAAGGAGTTCCCTGTTTCCTAAAATTTCTTGTCTGTCTTTTTCTAGAAACTCCTTTTTCCTTATTCCACCACCAGGTTTCATGCTGGAGTTGTGAGCTTATAATTAGATTCCAAAATTTCAGATTCTTCAGCTGTGAAATCTTAGTTTTCTTTTCATCCAATTGTGGTCAGGGTAGGAAGAGCCACTGAGCCATGGGAATTATTATCAAAGCATGTGTTGGGGGCTGCTATTAACATTTTGGATAATAACTTTATTTATAGGACCATCCTGTCCTTTTGGAAGACATTGAGCATACCTGGCCCTGCGCCCTAAATGCCCTCAGAATTTCCAAATGATCTCTGTTGGGGCATAGGGGGTGCCGCCTGGATGGAGAACCACTGCTTTAAGTATGCTTTCTTTTATTCACATAAAGTAATTAGTTTTTCCTGTGCAGTTTATCTGAGATGAACCTTTGTATTTCCACGCTTCCGCAGTGGTGGTTCTCTCTCCCTTTTTGGAGCAGGCCCAGGACCTTCCTTTCAGGACACCCACTTCCTCTTTTGTTCATTCAAAAGAGAAGCTCATTTCTATTTAGGAGCCTTTGAGTAAGGTCCGAGCAGTTTTTGCTCTGTGTCATAAAAGCACAAGGGTAAAGATTTTGGTGCACAGTTGACTAGAAGCCTGGAAGTTGATGCTCTTGCTTGTGTTTATTGGTTATTTTTTAGAGAGAGAAACATCAAAGTTGACTGCCTCCTGCACACCCCCTACCAGGACTGAGCCTCATACCCTGGGCATACGCCCTGATTGGGAATCGAACCAGCAACTTTTTTGGTGCGCCAAACGATGCCCATCCAACTGAGCCACACGGGCCATGGCGTCTTGCTTGTGCTTTCAGGGTGCTTTGGAACTCTTCTTGGGCACAGAATACAGATGTCAGTGAAGTAAGTGGTGGAGCTGGAATTGGAATGCAGGTCCTGCCAGAGTTAGACCTGGCCCATAACCATTACACTCTACTGCCTCTCATCCGAAAGCATAATGAAGCTGACAGGGTCCTGGAAATTGCACTGACCTGTGAGTGAGATGTCTGTGCTCATTTCTTTTTTTAATATATTTTATTGATTTTTCACAGAGAGGAAGAGAGAGAGAGAGAGTTAGAAACATCGATGAGAGAGAATCATCGATCAACTGCCTCTTGCACACCCCCTACTGGGGATGTGCCCGCAACCAAGGTACATGCCCTTGCCCGGAATCGAACCCGGGACCACGCTCTATCCACTGAGCCAAACCGGTCCCGGCTGTGCTCATTTCTTGATAGAGCCACTAATTAACTGTCTACTTGTGGCTTTGGGCAAGTGAGTCATTTAGCCTCAGAATCCCCATTTCTTCACCTGTAAGCTGGGGACACTATCCTGTTACCTTGTTGGGTCTATGAGATAAGTGTTTAGAAGAGCCAAATATGCCCTAACCGGTTTGGCTCAGTGAATAGAGTGGTGGCCTGTGGACTGAAGGGTCCCAGGTTCAATTCCGGTCAAGGGCATGTACCTTGGTTGTGGGTACATCCCCAGTGGGGAGTATGTAGGAGGCAGCTGATCGATGTTTCCAACTCTCTATCCCTCTCCCTTCCTCTCTGTAAAAAAATAAATTAAATATATTTAAAAAAAGAAAAGCCAAATAGCATACAAGAGAAAGTGGTGTTTCTTTAGGGGCACCTCTGTAGTTCTCAGCCTTCTTTCATCTCAGAATTTGTTGGGTATTGAGATTTAGCCATGAGTGGACTGCTTTCCCCAAAATGCTCTCTACTGCAATCTGACCCGAATTGATGGATGGTTCATAATGAGTGCTATTGAGAACTGCTTTATCGGATCAGAGTTAGAGAGTCCATTCCTTTCCACATTAAAATGTAGTTTTTGCTGTAAGGTGTTTAACTGTTAATAGTATCTCAGAATGTGGATTTCTAGATGTGGGGGAGACACATAGAGGACCCACCATGTTGGAAGGAAGGTTGCCTGTTTCCTGGGCCTTTCTATAAAATGGCTGGTCATTGAGGCTTTCACTCCAACTTGTTAGTCACATATGTGTATATATATGTACATTCAGAAAAATCTAAGCTATTCTCTATTGTCACCACGCCATCAACTGGGACTCATAGAAGGTGACTTTTCGCAAGTCTTTAATCATGCTAGCAGGATATCTCATTCTATTTTGCCGCCACCCTAGGGTTCTCAAGTTACTTACTTTTCTCCATTCTTAAATAATTAGGGAGAGTTGCCAACTCTATTGGAGTGGACCAGAAAGCCTTTCTGTGCCTCACCATAGGTGTGCTGGAGGTAATGGTCCTTCACATGGTTTCTGGAGAAAGGAAAGCATTCTGTGGTCTCCAAAGAGCATGATGGGTCCCCTGCCCTGTAGAAGTTCTATTAAAAAAAATTATATATATATATATATATATATATATATATATATATATATATATATGTATATATATATATTATTAATATCAGAGAGGGAGAGATAGAAACATCAATGGTGGGAGAGAACCATTGATTGGCTGCCTACTGTACGCCCCCCCCCACTAGGGATCAAGCCCACAACCCTGGCATGTGCCCTTGATCCGAATTGAACCTGGGACCCTTCAGCCCGCAGGCCAATGCTCTATCCACTGAGCCAAACTAGGGGTGAAGTTCTATTTTTAAAGAAGACTATTTTTTTTTTTTTTAATGAAGCCTTTTTTTAAGCAGAGTTTTGAGTACTCTATTCACCATAAGGGTTTCTTTTATTTTTTCTTTGACCTTTTCATTAAAAAAAAAAAAATTATTTTTAGAGAGGAAGGGAGACAGAGAGAAAAGAGAGAAAGATAAATGTGAGAGAAACATTGATGGGCTGCCTCCACATGTGTTCAACTGAGCCACACTGGCCAGAGCATAAGGGCTTATTTTTAAATTTTTTTATGGAATTTAAGTTTATTGTTGTTGGTACATGTTTTTTTTAATTAAGCTATTATCTGTGAACATATCTTACCATTGCCCCCCCCCCTTCATACATGCCCTCCCTCCCCAGAGTTTTGTGTCCATTGGTTTGTACTTATATGCATGCATACAAGTCCTTCGGTTGATCTAGGGCTTATTTTTTATAAAATAAAACAAGTTTTCCCGAGGAGATGATAATTTCTTGAAAGTCACAGTTAACTCTTACTCATTGGGGTTTGAAAGGTCTTGCAAAAAACAGATTTTTCACTCTTAAAATGTTTGCTTTATGGGATGTGTACATTTTGCTGTTAAACAAAGACACACCCCAAATTTGTCATCACAAAGGACTCTGAACCAGGCTACTTTTAACCAAAGAAATGCTACTCTAGTACCTTCTGGGAAAAGGAAAATGCTTTGTACTTTACTAATGTGATATTCAACCCAAGGTATTGGGCATTAACATTTTGGAAAACCCAATTCTGAAACTAAACTTCTTTGGTGACAGTTTCAAAATGGAAAAACAAAACAAAACACACTTCATAGGGAAGTGGTGGTGA